TGGGGGGGGGGGGGGGGGGGGGGGGGGGGGGGGCATTTAAGGGAGCTTAGGTGCGACAATAATCGAGTTCATTTATAACATTTTACTTTTTTTAACTACCAGCTCCTGGACATACATTTATGCATACAATTGGAAATACCTATCTGATAGGTTCCCGTTGTAATGGCAGCCAACACACAGGATAAAAGCACAAATACAGAGAAAAGAAAAAATAGAACAAGATGAAGTCTTAATTAACTGCAATCTGTATCACTGAAGGTAGGAATTCATTGAAATAAAGGTACTGATAAGCAGCAATTCAACAACTATATGTAAGATAATGATTTATACTCAAAACGAGATATAGAATGATATTTGAACTTCGGAGAGTTCGATGCCCTCCTACAGACTCTTCTATTCTCCAGTATGCCTCTCTTCTCCTCTTTCTTACATACCTGTGGATCTGTAACAACTTTATCAACTATATCTGTTGTGCCCATGTGCTGGTTGTTTATCCCCTCATTATATTCCTTTTCTGCCCTTGCCTTTTTCTTGTGTCTTGTGTACTTAATTTGGATGGGTGGCCTATCATTACTCCTCCCCACGAAACTCACCTTGTCCTCAAGGTGAAAGTCTGGAAACTGTGGTTTCAACATCTGGTATGGTTCCCAAATTGCCTCTAGGGGAGGTAATCCTTTCCACCGTATCAATGCTTCAATGCTCCTAATATTTTTTCCCGTTCTAGGACGAACTCTTAGCACAGCTTTAGGTTCCACTAACATCTCCAACTCCTCGTTCAATTGGCTCGAAATATGGATCACCAATTGAGAATTTGCTTCAGCTTTACGCAATTGAGACACATGGAAAACAACGAGAATGTGGCAATTGAATGGGAGTGTTAATTTGTAAGCTACTAGCCCCACTTTCTTCTCGACTACAAACGGTCCATAAAATCTAGGAGCTAACTTTTCATTTGGCCACGATGACCGCTTATGACTGTAGGGACGTATCTTAAGATAAACTACATCCTCTACGTTGAATTGAACATTCCTTCTCTTCACATCTACTATCCATTTCATATGAGTTTGAGTGCGCAGTAATTGAGCTCTCAATTCATCCAACATCTGATCCCTCTCCAACAGCTATTCCACTATGGAAAATGGAGTAGAGCCCTTTTCGAACCTCATAGCATTGGAGGATCTGTCCATATAGGCTTTGGAACGAGGTAATTTTAGAAGAGGTGTGATAGAACGTATTATGCCATAGTTCTGCCCAAGGTAGCCAGATTGTATTTGACCTGGATAAAATATTCATAAGTAGATTTTAGGAAGAATTTTTTAGATTACTAGCCATGTAACTCTGTCATAGCACCGCTTATCACTTGTAGTTAGATGGTCAATATGAGGTGATCAACAGCACATTGGAAACGTATCTCCGCTATTTCACTTTCTCCAAACCAAAATGTTGGGTAGGTACGTAAACGGGGCAATCGTCCCTCCCCACCCCGCCTTAAATGGGTAATGGGGCAAGTACGGGACTACCTTGCCCCGTTTTCATCTCTATACAGTCGAATGCGAAAGTCCATGGATAGAGGCTATGATGGAGAGAATTGAGTTATTGCATAAAAATGATACCTGAGATTTGGTTGAGCTTCCAGCGGGGAAGAGATCGATAGGATGTAAGTGGGTATACAAAAAGAAAGATTTATTGTCAGAAAAGGGAGAAGAAAGATACAAAACTCAGCTAGTAGCTACAGGATACTTATAGAGAAAGGGAGTAGATTATGATGAGATTTTCTCTTTGGCTGTTTGACACAATTCCATCAGGATCGTCTTGGCAACGATGGCCTGTTCTGATTTGGAATTAGAGCAGCTTGATGTGAAGACAGCTTTCCTCCATGGTAATTTGGAGAAGCGGATTTTCATGGAGTTGCCAGAAAGGTTTTTGGAACCATGAGTAGTAAATCTTGTGTGTAAACGAAAAAAGTCTTTATATGGGCCTAAGTAATCTCCACAACAATGATACAAGAAATTCAACTCTGATAGGTTACCAATTACAATGACATATGCAAGACGTGGCCAGGAGAAACAGAATAAGGGCAGTTTGGGAAATGAATCAGTGCAGCAAAAGGAAATCACGTGAGCTACTAAAAACTACCAGCATGTGCAGACCGTTAGAAGGTGAATTCTAGAAGATTGGCAGCTACTATAAAAAGGCAAGGAATAAACAACAATAAATAGGAAAATACTAGCCAAACTTGGGAGAGAATGAGCCTCTCGAATAGCTCATAGTTCTTGTAATTTTTCTTCTTCAATCAAGTCCTTGTAATCAGTCCTTTACAGTACTAGTAAACTTTCAATAGTGTTCTTCATTTTGCTTCCATTTAACCTTCTCCAGAATTTGTTCTTATCATTTTGGTATCAGAGCACGTTCCTGGAAATGACATTGGCAGACCGCGTGGGAGCTATTGAAGGACGGATGGAGGAACTGCAACAGGGGCTACAAACGGGTCTCGACTTATTGAGATTGGATTTGCGGGGACAAATGTCAGCTATGATGGAGAAATTCAATTGGATGATAAACCAGTGGGAGGAGCAGGAAAGAGGATAGAAAGGGAAGATGGGCGAAGAGGTAAATACTCCGGATATTACCCACAGTTCCGAAATTAGGCCTGAATTGACTGAGATCAGCCGTGGGGTGGGGGGAACAGGCGGTGCGGGTGGAGTGGTAAGATCGGAGTGGCGAAGTAGGAAATTGGAGCTACCCGTTTTCGAAGGAGACGACCCGGATGGGTGGGTCTTTAGGGCCGAAAGGTATTTCGTCATAAATCGTTTGGCGGAGGAGGAAAAAATGGAGGCCACAACGGTATGTTTAGAAGGGGAGGCTTTGGCATGGTTCCAATGGGAGAAAAAGAGGCGGAAATTTCAGAATTGGGAGGAGCTCAAGCTCTTGATGTTAGCAAGGTTCCGACCCTCACAAGAAGGAACCCTGGAGGAGAAGTTTCTGGCACTCCGACAAGAGGGTTCCGTGCGTGATTACCGGCGAAGCTTTGAGACTTTGGCCGCACCTCTTAATGCGTTATCTGAGGCGATCCTCGAAGGTAATTTCATTAATGGGCTACGCCCGGACATACGGGCTGAAGTAAGGTTGTTGAAGCCCAAAGGGTTGGGCCAGATGATGGAAGTGGCCCAACGGGTAGAAGAAAGAAACCAGGCTGTTAAACTGGCCTAAGGTGGATCCAACCCAAACAAAGGTAAGGCAATTAACTATCCTTATTACCCGATTCAAAGTCCTCCCGTAAGTCTTGTGCCCAGATCGCCTTCCTCCATGAGCTCCAGGGCGGTCTCTACTGGGAAAACTGCCCAACCCCTGCACCCAACCTTCAAGCGGTTGAGTGAGTCCGAGCTACAGCAGAAGAAAGAGAAGGGCTGTGTTTTCGTTGCGACGAAAAATACACCGTAGGGCATAGATGCAAACACAAGGAGTTGCAGGTGTTAATCATACAAGATGAAGAAGGACAGGAAACAGTAGAAGAGGAGCTAAAGGAGGGTGGAGACGGAGAGTATAAGGTGACCAATGAGTTGGGGGAAATGGTCGAACTGTCGATGAACTCTGTGGTCGGACTTACCCCACCTTGAACCATGAAAGTTAAGGGCAAAATTGAAGGGCAGGAAGTCGTGGTTCTAATCGATTGTGGGGCAACCCATAATTTTATTTTAACGTGCAGAAGTTGGGGCTTCCTAGGGTAGCCACCGCAGGTTATGGAGTAATCATGGGGACGGGTCTCGTTGTTCAAGGTGCGGGATTATGTAAACGGGTGGTGCTATCACTTCAAAACATGGAGGTGGTCGAAGATTTCTTACCTCTAGAATTGGGTAGTTCAGACGTGATTTTGTGAATGAAATGGTTAGCTACACTGGGCGGTATGTAGGTGAACTGGGAGGAGCTCACAATGAAATTCAGGATGGGGGACACATCTGTCACCTTGTGTGGCGACCCCAGCCTAAGCAAAACCTTGGTTTCTATAAAATCAATGATTAAGGCGTTTAGAGAAAATGGAGAGGGGATGTTGTTGGAGCTAGGAAGCATCACTGCTGAGGTATTACAGGTGGAAACACCGGGGGTGCTCGTAGAATTCTCCGGGGTGTTTGAAGAACCCCAAGGACTGCCGCCAAAACGTAGCCGAGATCACGCTATTGTGTTGCAACCAGGGGCAGCACCAGCAAACGTAAGGCCCTATCGCTATTCGTTTGTGCAGAAAAATGAGATAGAAAGGTTGGTTCAGGAGATGTTAGCGGCAGGCTAATTTAGGCCAAGCACGAGCCCTTTCTCCATCTCGGTACGGGAGTTGGCACTTTTGTGTAGACTACTGGGCGTTAAATCGGGTAACCGTGCTGAACAAATTCCCTATCCCAGTTATTGAAAAACTTCTTGATGAATTGCACGGAGCGACAGTCTTCTCCAAACAGGACCTGAAGGCTGAGTATCATCAGATTCGGGTTATGGAGGGAGATATCCCGAAAATAGCATTTAGAACTCACAAGGGGCACTATGAGTTCCTTGTCATGCCCTTCGGCCTGACCAACGCCCCAACTACTTTTCAATCTCTTATGAATGAGGTTTTCAGATCACAATTAAGGCGGTTTGTCTTGGTGTTCTTTGATGACATTTTGGTCTACAGCCACAATATGGAGGAGCATTATGAGCATCTCAAATGTGTGCTAACCTTACTGGCTGAGCATAAATTATATGCCAACAAAAAGAAATGTCAGTTTGGTCAATCGGAGATTGAGTACTTGGGGCACATTATATCCAAGGATGGAGTGGCAGCAGATCAGGCAAAAATTAAAGCAATGTGTGAGTGGCCTAGTCCCCAAAATCTCAGAGACCTTCGTGGATTTTTGGGTTTAACCGGATACTATCGACGGTTCGTGAAGGGTTACGGACTACTAGCTTGGCCTTTAACCGGAAGGTTAAGAAAAGACAACTTTTACTCGGATGAAGTAGCTGAGGCTTCATTTCAAAAATTAAAGGAAGCTATGGTTTCAGTTCCTGTGTTAGCCCTTCCAGATTTTTGCAAACAGTTCATTGTGGAGATGGATGCCTCAGGGCATGGTCTTGGGGCAGTTTTAATGCAAGAGCAGCGCCCGGTAGCTTATTTCAGCCATGCCTTAAACCCACACAGCCGTAATAAATCAGTATACGAGAGGGAGTTAAATGGCCATAGTCTTTGCAATTCAAAAATGGCGGCATTATCTCCTGGGACAGAAATTTATAGTCCGGACCGATCAGAAAAGTTTGAAGTTTCTGCTGGAGCAAAGGGTGGTTAATCTCGATTACCAAAGGTGGCTGGTTAAGCTGATGAGGTATCACTTCGACATACAGTATAGGCCGAGGCTCGAGAACAGAGCAGCTGATGCATTATCAAGGATAAATCTAGGGGTAGAGGTGATGACCGTTCCGAAGGTGATTTCATTGGAAAGGCTAATGGAAGAGGTGAGGGTTGATGAAAGCCCGGGGAAAATCATGAACGATATAGAGGTAGACCGACCAACACAACCCGGTTATTTCGTGTCGCATGGTCAGTTAATATACAAAGGAAGGTTGGTGATACCAAGAAAGTCTGCCTTAATACCCCTACTGTTACAAGAAGGCCATGATGGAAGCTTGGGCGGGCATTCCAGGGTACTTAAAACATATAGGTGCTTAGTAGCCAATGTGTTCTGGAAAGGGATGAGAAATGACATCCAGCAGTACATCAACCAATGTTTAGTATGCCAGCAAAATAAGTACCTAGCGCTGTCTCTAGCCGGTCTCTTGCAACCGCTACCTATACCTGATTAGGTATGGGGAGAAATTGCTATGGATTTCATTGAAGGTTTGCCTAAATCAGCGGGAATGGACATGATTTTAGTGGTAGTGGATCGACTCAGCAAGTATGCGCATTTCATAGGATTAAAGCACCCCTTCACAGCTAGTACAGTGGCTGCCTTATTTATTAAAGAGGTGGTTCGCTTACACGGGGTGCCTAAATCCATAGTATCGGACCGTGATAAGGTTTTTATGAGCAAGTTCTGGGAAGAAATCTTTCGCTTACAGGGCACTAAACTCAATAGGAGCACCGCATATCACCCTCAATCCGATGGGCAGTCAGAAGTGGTTAACTGCACGTTGGAAACATACTTGAGATGTTTTGCTTCAACCAAGCCCCGCGCTTGGTACAGTTGGCTGCTCTGGGCCGAATTATGGTATAACACATCTTACCATGTCTCCTTAAGAACTACCCCATTCTAGATTGTATATGGAAGAGAGCCTCCACCGTTGATACGTTTTGAAAAGGGGTCAACCATAGTCTCGGCCGTAGAACAACAGTTGTTGGAAAGAGACTTGATCTTAGAAGAACTCAAGGAGCAACTACTCAGTGCAAAATCCAGAATGAAACACTATGCTGATTCTAAATGGCGCGAAGTGTGTTTTGAGGTTGGAGACCAAGTCCTGCTCAAGATTAAGTCGTATAGAAGGAAATCATTGGCCTCCCATCCAAATGAGAAGCTGGCTCCCAGATTTTATGGGCCCTACTCGGTGACACAGAAAGTAGGGAAAGTGGCATACCGCCTTAATTTGCCTCCCACATCCCACATTCACCCGGTGTTCCATGTGTCCCAATTAAGAAAAGCTGTGGGAATGTTCCAAACAATAGAGGAATTACCCGTACAACTCAGTGAAGGGTTGGAAATGCTGGTAGAACCAGAGGCAGTCTTAGGGGTCAGACCAGGGATCGCGGGTAACCTACGTGGCCATGACGTTTTGATAAAATGGAAGGGTATGCCGCCCTTAGATGCAACCTGGGAACCTTATAACTTAATTGATCTACAGTTTCCCTCCTATCACCTTGGGGACAAGGTGAAACTTGAAGGGTGGGGGGGGGGGTTAATGATAGGCTACCAATTACAATGACATATGCTAAACGTGGCTAGGAGAAACAGAACAAGGGCAGTTTGGGAAATGAATCAGTGCAGCAAAAGGAAATCACGTGAGCTACTAAAAACTACCAGCATGTGCAAACCGTTAGAAGGTGAATTCTAGAAGATCAGCAGCTACTATAAAAAGTTAAGGAATAAGCAACAATGAACAGGAAAATACTAGCCAAACCTGGGAGAGAATGAGCCTCTCGAATAGCTCATAGTTCTTGTAATTTTTCTTCTTCAATCAAGTCCTTGTAATCAGTCCTTTACAGTACTAGTAAACTTTCAATAGTGTTCTTCATTTTGCTTCCATTTAACCTTCTCTAGAATTTGTTCTTATCAAACTCCTACATGATTTAGATGGGCTAGAGTCGCTGTGAGTATATTTTTTGTTCACTACAGAGTTCTTGAGTATGATTCATATATTTTCTTGATGTACGTGGATAACATGCTAATTGCTGCTAAGAACATGAATAAGGTAGGTAGATTAAAATTTTTGTTGAGCAGTAAGTTTGATATGAAAAACTTTGACATGGAGATGAACAGAGATAGGAAGGCCAAAAAATTATGGGTGTCTCAAAAAAATTATTTGTAGAAAGTGTTAAGAGAGATTTAGCATATCTGATACTAAACGCTAAAACTAATGGATACACCATCGGCAAATCACTTCAGATTGTTTAGTAATCAGTGCCCAAAGAATGAAGAGTAAATTGTAGAGACGTCAAATGTGCCCTATGCTAGCGCAATGGGATGTTTAATGTATGCAATGGTGTGTATCAGACAATATTTAGCACATGCGTGGTGAGCAAGTACATGCTAATCTCGATAGAGAGCATTTGAGATCTTAAAGTGGATTTTTAGGTACTTGAGAGGTATAATGGAGTGTGGGATCATGTTTGAGACAACCTTTCAGCTTAAGAATACATAGATGCAGATAATGTAGGAGGCTTGAATGACAAGAGGTCGCATACATGTTATGTTTTCACTCTCACAGGTGGGCCTATATGTTAGAGATCAATGGTGCAGTCACTTGTGGCATTATCCGTAGTTGAAGCAGAGTACATGGTGGCAACTGAGGCGGCCAAGGATTACTATGGTTGGGAGGGCTTGTCAGTGCGCTTGGGATCAAGCAAGTTGGAATGAAATTATATTGTGATAATCAGTGCACCATCTTCTTAGCAAAAATCAAATTTACCTTGCAAGAATCAAGCACATTAATATGAGATTTCACAAGATAAAAAAGTTGGTTACCTCAGCAGAATTGTTGTTAGATAAGGTGCATACCTCAGAGAACTTGATTAACGTCTCTAGGTGTTAGAGAGGTGATGTTCCAACCTGTTGGTCCTAGATGGTATTTTCCTTGGGTTATGCTTTTTCAATGTTTCTCCTGCAGGGTAGATATTTGTCAAGGTGAAGATTGTTGTGTATGTAGCTCATATAGAGTGAAACACATGTTTACTGAATCAAATTAGCCGATGCCGAAGCAAAGTGACGGCATCGACTATTTCAGGTTTTAGTTTACTGTTTGTTTGCCAGGACGCTGAATAGGTTGGGGTTGCCCTCGCAGTACGGTACAGAAGTATTTTCTTGTAGGGGCCCTAAAGTCTTGCATGAGCTTAAACTAGTGATAGTATAAATATAGATAATGTAACCAGATAAAATATCTTCACTTTGCTCCTTGTGAACATAGACACATTGCCGAATAACGTTAAATAATTGTTTTGATTTCTCTCTTTCACTTCTCTATTATTGCATATAAAATCCAACGGAGGTTAAGTCTATATGGATATCGATTAGGCACGCTTTATAACAAATGGAAAGTTACCTCTGGATATTTTACGTTTTCGGGCAGATATTTGTTAACTTGGAGAAGTAAAAAGCGAAATGTTTTTGCCAGATCTAGTGCTAGTGCCAAATTTTGAGCCATGCCATTAGAAATATGTGAGCACTTTGTGGATTAAAATCTTGCTGGTAAAACATTTCGGAATCAGTCGCATCAAAATAGATCAACACTTCTGAGAGGGAAAATTTGACAGTGGTCTACTTTGTACACCTGCTGTTTCTTAGAAGTTCCTTTTTGCCAACATCTTCAAAAAGGAGTATTTAGTCCAACAATTTTAGTTCCATGATAAGCAAGTTGGGTATGGAAGACATGTTTGAACAAGCTTGAAGGGAGTGTTCGAAACCAACAAGATTCCTTAATTTATGGGAATCAACCGACAATGTTGTATAGTTTATGAGATTTGATCCTCTATATTTTACATATACACTGGTGTTATCGTATGGCAGCACAACTGTACAGTTCAATCCATAGGCTTATATTTTTTTTTCTTTTTCCTTTTTTCTAACTTTAATGGGGAAAGAAAGACATTTGACTTTTCCATCCAGATTTTGTCCGAAACTATTTATTGCTTTCTAGGACCAGATTACATGCATCTCGTGCTATTGACCTAATGTAGTCTTGCTTAGGTTTTTTGTCATTCTTCTTTGTCTCCCAATCTTAATGCCCTTCAAATTTTCCTTCCAGATTGTAAGAAACATTAGCTGTTCTTGGTTAGACCTTTAGAGGATACAGTTCAGCTAATTAGGTTAATGGAATAATAACTCTGGATTTTAGCAACATTTAGCTAAAAACTTGCTCCCTATTACCTTCTCGTAGGTGAAATTTACCTCAGAGATAAAACGTAAAGCAGAGCCAATTGGCTTAAACATTAAAGTTATGTGAATAGTATCCTCATTCTGTAGGTCTCAGTTTCAATTATGCTCAAAGGTTTTCTTTTCTTTTCCTTTTGTATTTGAGCATTTTCTGTGAAAGTAAAATTTCTGCTTTACATATCCCACTTTTTTATGCTATCTTATTCGTTCTAGTCTGCTTTGTATTCAGATACATGTCGACCTCGTTATTAAGAATTGCAAGGGAGCATAATTCAGTAGTTGCAGTTGTTGGAAAAGGGCATCTGCCAGGAATCCAGAAGAACTGGAAGCAGCCTGTTGATGTAAGTATGCCCTAGCAATGTTTTAAAACCCATCCCGGGCATTGACCCAGAAAAAGTCAAGGGTCAAAGGGTAGTTAAAAATAATAAATCATAAATCAATAAACATACCATAATGATTTACAAATCAAAGAATTAAGACATGCTTTCTTTCATATCAATGTATGTTTATCTCGACATTTTACATTATTTTAACCAAATTAAAGAATTAGGTTCTTGCTTTTCAGATTCAGTAATTTTTCAATACTTCCTACTACATGGATTTCGTGTTGTCAACAGTACTTTTAGAAATTTGCTTGCAATATGTTTCTGTAAATATTCTAAGCCACCCCGTAATAGAAAATGGGTCTCATGGCTGGTCACCAAGGTAGTTTTCATGCATGGCCTCCCCTCAGCAATCATTCCTTTCAGAGATGACAACTCACCACGGTTGTTTACCTTAACTCTCACTCTTTAGCGTGTTTAACCGACAGCAATCTTAAATTTAGCCCCTAGTCATTAAAACATCTCCTTTTTCCTGAAAAAACTGAATGGGTATAACTGGTTGAACGGGCCAGGTGGGCAGTTTTTCTCCAGTTTTTACCAATTGCAGTTTTAGCATCAATGTTATGACCGCAAAACTTAATTGATGATTGTACTTGGACTAGGCTTTCTACTATTTGCTAGTGTATAGAAAACTTCATGCTATTTACCGTTTCACAGGTGAAGCAACTTCTGAGCATACCTTCAGAAAACCGTACTATTACTGTCGGGAAGATTATCACTACCTTAGGAGTTACATTTGCTGGGGTCGCCATCATATCCGGCTTTTATCTCTCGAGCAGGAAATAGTGTAAGGAGAATTCAAGAAGTTATGACAGTCCATTATATGACAGCCTCATCCTTACGATCTGGAAGTATAATGTGATATTCTTTGTTTTTTAGACCACAATGAAACATTCTTTGTAACGACACAAATTTGTGTATAGACCAAGTTATTGTCTCAAATTGTTTATGCTTTTGATATAGATCAAAATTTCTGGATAGACTGAATTTTCCTTGATTTTTAAATGTCAAAGTAGAGAGAATTTTTCGGGATTTTTAATTTTTTAATTTTTCCTTCTTGTTTTGGATCGAAGTTTACGAATCTTAATGGTTGGTATCATTTTTTGATAATGGATGAGAATTTTTTTATTTATTTTTTAACTGGTCTGCTTTTTTTATTTTTTGGGTCCAAAAGAAATCTCTCCCCAAATACTTTTATCAGATATGATCATTCAATCATACAAAATGACCATAATTTTTGTTTTTTCAAATGAAAATGTCTTCTTGACAAATGTAGGCAAAGTTTATGAGGGACGTGGGACACAAGACGAGTGTTAGAATGGATTACGAATCCTCGTCTACTTGTCTAACCCGATGGGGGAGGTCTAGGTATTTAAAACTTCATGAGGAGAATTTTGTAATACTTTTTGTCAAGCATGATGAGAATATGGAGATACTTCAAAATTAAAGAATAAGAATATTTGTAACACTTTTAAGATTGACAATTGGGCAAAATATTAAAGCAATCATACATTACATTGGTAATGATTGACAATTGGGCTAAAGAAAGAGAATTTTTGTAATACTCTTAAGATTACAATTGGGTTAAACATTTAAGCAATCTTTAGGAAAACATCACTCGACTATAATTATTTTGGGAATGAATAGATTATCATGGACCTTTTGCACTCTTGCCTATGAGTAGTTGCAGCATGTCGCAAAGCATTCTTTGATGTACATATCATGGTTGAGTTGTTCCTCACTGTTGTGTTCTATTAGACTATAAACTATGGGAACAAATATAGTTGAATAGAATAACATGCAGATTACACGTTTCACTGTTTTGAGATATGAGGTGCAGGTGGTGATGACCACCCTGGAGTATGAGCTAGCAGCCTTGACGGCACTCCAGAAGCTACTAACGCTCGTGAAAACCAAGGTCGGTCGATCCTCCATTCATTTGATCAGGGTTGTGGATAACGAGGTCACCTTAGGTCTCTATGCAAGATAGGGTGGTTCGATTAAGTTTCTCAACCAACCCTTAGCCCGATGCTCATGACTTGCTACAAAACCTCCAACCTATCTAGGGACCAAGCAAGGTAGAGCTAGTGGCATAAGAGCCAACTCGACATCAATGGCTTTGTGCCGCACTGGAGTGATCCAATGAATTTCAATGTGGATCATGAAACATCATGAGCAGCACGATGTTAAGGTCTAGAATTCAAAATGAAATTTTTTATTAGCCTCTAGTCGTCATGGAAAAGAAAGGGAGAAATAAGAAAGAAATAGATTGATCTTGGGAGCTTGTCCGATACCACCAGTACCAGAAATGCATCTCCTTCACCCGTGCAACAAACTTCTATACCAATGGGGAATAAGGACCTTGTTATGAAAGAAAGCGGAACATACACTTGCATCAGCTAACTACTAAATTTTATATAAATTGAAAGCCAGAGAGATACAAAGATATAGCGATGCAACCAAGGAGGGCTCTTTCATGCTAGGTGTCCAGCAACACACTTGCTATATACGTTTCATGCCACTACATCCTACCAACTAGACCTAAACAAACTAGAAGGAGGGCAAAAAAAAAAAAGGAAGGAGCCTGAAAACAAATTGAAAAAAGAGAATATTACATTTGTCAAAAAATTTAATAAAAAAGGGTAAACACATTTCACTATGTAATAATTACTCCTTTCATCGCATAAAGATGTACCTGCTTTGATTTACATATAGATTAAGAAAATATAAATAATGTAATTGAAAATATAAATTTTACTTATATTTTTTCTGATATACTTTATATTAAATGATTTAAATAGGAGTAGTATATATTTATTGATAACAAGACACATTAAATAGGGGTATATTAAAAAATTTAAGAAATCATCTATACTCTCAACAAGGAAAATAGTCTATAAATTGGGACAAACAAAAAAGAAAATATATCTTTATAGGATGGAGGTAGTATATGCTAAATTAGGATATGTTCAAATTTTAATGTGGCACAAAAATTTGAGAACTATGAAGCACAACCTAATAACCTTTTTACCTTGTAAAAAAAATATTTACTTGGAAATTTTGTTATACACATATTAATCCAACATAAAAAAATTGTAAAAATAAAAAAATAAAAAATCAGTTCACCTCTTGCTCTGTCCTTGTAGAGTAGTACTTCGAAGTATTTTACAATATGATTACAGATACATAGCCCTTGTTTTGAGCCCTTTTTTCTGTCAAAATACATTTTTCAACGGTAATTTAATCTCATTTCAACTACGCATTTTTTATTAAAATAATATTACATGTAAATCCAAATTTTTTTTGTATATTTTAACCACATATTCTCAATCATAACACTATTACAAAATGCATTTTTTTAAAAAAAAAAAAAAAAAAAAAAAAGAAGCGCTAAAACAAGCCATTAGAATAGATCTAAAATAAAAATTGTTCAACTTCACTTATTCATTTCATAAATTGTTTTAACCATCTATGAAATCAGGTCAATCCAGTTTCAAAGAAAATCATATCATTGTGATCGGTTCGGTTCATTTGTAAAAGTGTAATACTTCAAAGCTTAAGATTCGAGTTGCTATTGAATTATAGATTCATTTCCTGTTTCAACCATCTAACGTGTTGCATTAAGTCAACAATTAGTTGATTAACCAAACGAACTCGGATTTCTATGAAAATTTTACTGAAGATAAAAAACTTATATAAGTTTTATTTATTATAATTTCATAATTTAATTTGATCATTTAAGCACTCAACTTGTTAACCTGTAGCATGCAAAAACCTGCTATTGGGTAAACTTTGCACAACTACTAAAACATCATGACTATTTCTATGGTCGTGATTTCAAGTTCTAGAACAGAATAATTATAGGACCGTCAAACCCTACTTGTCTTGTGATTTCAAGTTCTATGGTCGTGATTTCAAGTTCTAGAACAGAGTAATTATAGGACCGTCAAACCCTACTTGTCTTGTCCAAAAATTTGAAGCATACATCCCGTGGAGGTCATTTAAAAATTAGACGCAACCATGGAAATTTCATATTTCAGTCATTAAGGACTTTTGTTGTACTTTACCATACAAGTTCGTGTCCACCTCGATTCTTAGACACTTTAATTAAGCTCAAAGCATAACAAAATTGGGAAAGGCACCTTGTAGAGTCCTACTCACTTCTCGAAATGGAATTTGTTGGCCTCATTTTCTATTTGGACCACGTGGACAGCACAAATCAGACTTATCAACGTACACATGAGCCGGCTCCAACACAAATAGATAAATCAACGATCAAGAACTCTCCATGATGGAGCATAGGAACAACACTTAAAACACGAGACAATGGAATGCGGATTTCGACTAGGTTTATCAAGAACGATCACAAATGATTATATCAAAGATAGAAAGAAAGCAAAATGAGAATGATATGTATTGCATTTAGTAATATTTTGTATTCAAAGTCCCATTAGTCCTCAAGTGTTACACGGAGGGGATATTTATAGCAGTGCAAGTGAAATGGTGGCTTTGGATAGACATAAAATGTGGCCCCGTCTCCTAGCCACCACTTTGAATTTTCTTGCTGGCGGCACATTCAATACTCTTACATATGGTAGGCACCCTATTGACAAGACAAGGCTCATATACTCACTACAAAGGTCACATCAATCATTCCAAAGAGATCTCACGTATCAATTCAAGATCTTGTTGAGCCAGGGAGCCTCGGATAGTAAAGCTCCTCGAACTTCTATTTGTGAGGCTTCGTCACTCTGGCACCTCCACTTCAGTAGAGAAATACAAAGACGAGTCTCAATATTGTCCTCGAGGCCTCGTCCACTATGCTATGCACTACGGCGGTAGTGGGTCCATAGTTATAGTGGGTCGGCCACGTGTGCCAAGGCATAACAATAGTCCACCAAGTCTGTGTAAAGTTATTTATGTCATGCGTGGATTTCAGTGCCAAGTAGAATTCCTCTTAAGCAAAAAAAATTTAAAAATTTGGATCTAATAATAGTCTCCCAAGTTCAAGTATAGATATTTATATCATGATTAGAGTTAAAAGTTACTTATGTTAAATCATATGACGAAAGTATGTTGAGTTGCTTCGTAACGAGGCCAAAAGGATGTAAAACCGAAGAGGCATATTATTCTAGTAGTAGCTAAATCTATTTTCAAGCCAAGGTAGGGGAATTGCTGAACTACCAAGGCTTATTGTTTTATCAATAGCTGAATTTATTTGGAAGCCAAGGCAGGAAATTGCTGAACTGTCGAGGCTTATTATTTTATCAATAGCTGAATTTATTTTGAAGCCATACAAGAAATTGTTGAACGACCGACGCTTATTGTTTTATCAATAGCTGAATTTATTTTGAAGCCAAGGCAAGAAATTGCTAAACTCTCAAGGCTTATTATTTTATAAATAGTTGAATTTATTTGGAAGCCGAGGCAGAAAATTACCTAACTCCTTAGGGAGCTCACACCCCTTCTGTAGTAGGTCTTCCTTCGTCGATTAAGGAGTAGAAAGAATCGTGATTCTAGGTTTGGGATAAGTGGCAAGAAATTAAGGGAGACACAGCCCTAGTGACCCAGTACTATGAAGCTGGTGAGTGCTCATCCTTTGTGTTCTTTCTTGTTGTAGATACTGGATCTCGCTTCGAGCAATTCCCCTGCCTTGTTGTAGATACTTGGCATTGTCGAGGCGAAAATAAAGAAAATATATGTTGATGCTAAAACAATGAGGGCCCAGTGAGCTGAAGATGCGCCTAAGTTGGATTCTGTCTTAGCAGAAATAGAAGCTCTAAAGAGAGAAGTACATGAGTCCCAGTGCGAGGTTGCCTCTTTGACAAAGAAATTGGAAACCTCAAACAACCATTAAAGCCTTACTGCTGAGGCTCTGGAGAAGGCAAACTTAAAGCTTGCTGGACTCAGGGATTCGAATGAATTTTACGAAGGTAAAATAAAGTACTATGTGGAAGATGCTGAGAAGGCTCAACTGGCAAGGGAAGAAGTGGTGAAGGATTATGTTGCCATCTTCCATCTCACGTAAGAGTACCAATG